TTCACAGTGATTTAGACCGTATAAAACACTTTTTATAAGCTGATACTTATTATGATTCATTTAACTAACAATTTATCATAATCTGATTAAATAAAATTAATGTAAAGATAGAAGTTACAATGAATAATGTAGTATCAGACAAGTAAGCGATATAATATTCCAATCAAACACATGCCTCAACACTAACTGTATTAAATTTTTTTCTTATGTAATTTACTTTTTTAAAAGTCAAATCACCGCCAAGCTTTGTTAATTATTACTGTCTGGTTAGATAAATAAACATCGATTTTAAAGAAGTATTGATCGAATTCTCCATAGAATTTGACCTTAGGACATGTTTATTTAATGTTGTTGTTCACTCTGTTATAATGGTGATAAATAACGTAACTACAATATATATATTTGTCTAATAAAGATCATGTGAATGACCAAGGTTTATTTATATGAAAGTATTTGTCAAATAATTTATTCGAAGTAATTAGTCATCATCACTTGAAAACGTTCATTGATAAAATAATCATCAATATTTTGGATGATTTTTTTTAAGGATCTTCAATTTTGTTAGGCATTACTAAGAAGAATCAACCGTGCTGTCTATTCGACAAAGTGTGTAATCTAAACTGATATCTCCATATTTAATGTTTATAAATCCAATGTGTGTCAAGTCATCTGAATTAGATAAATATGTTTTTTAAGAATTTGAATTTACAAAACAATCTACTAATATTAGTCCATTACACATAGACTTTGTCGTATCAAAAATAGCAATCCATTTTAAACAAATCGGGTGTTCTCGAGGAAGGTACAATGGTGCATGGTCACTTAAGAAAATCCCATGACCTGGGGATTGGTTTTGTCACTATTTTTCTCAATCTAATATTAAACTTTGTAATATTCGTGTTTGTTCGACTACTTAGTCTATTTATCCTTTTAATCTGATGTGATTTATGTAACGTTTGCCACACTTACGTAATGAAATGATAAATGTTGCTTGTTTGTATCATAAGAAAATTCTTGTTTATATAAATATTTCACCTTTGATTTGTATTACGCCAAAAACTCAACTCATCGAAAGTTATAATGATATTCATAATTTTTACTCAATTTAGTTTGTCGAAAATAAGTAATTAAATAATTGTTAACATTTTTTTTATTCAGACAATAATTTGTCAAATGAATTTAATGACAAGAAATCATATAGTTTTGTTGTTATTATGAATGCATCTTGACGTCAATGTTGTTTAGATTTGAGAGTTGAAAATATTTCAAATCATATATATATATATATATATATATATATACCTTGCCAAACGGAGATCGCTGAATTATCTAATATAAAATCAAATGAATATTCTATGAGATCCACGTAATATACTATGGATATCTCCGCTGCTAAAAATAAATTCTAACAGCTTATTGATTATTTTGCTTATATCATACAGTAATATACTAAATTAAGATATATCTACTTATTGATAGGATCAGATATTCTTTAGTTTCTCATTATTCTTCTTACCTGTGTGAAAGCCATCAGTTGCAGATGGAAAAGTTGAGTAGAAAGTTGCTTTTTTTGGCTAGTATTGGCTTAATGTACAATATTTAACAAACACCATATATTTTATTTGTAATTTTATTGATGCGAATAATATGTATCTAGAATTTATTTAGAAGAAATTCTACTGAATGCACAGTCCAGCTTTAATCGTGAGATATTTCTGTATGTAAATTTGGGATCTGCAGTGGGTCCCTCACCCTTCGATTTTTCATAGCTAACATCAAACTTAGCAGTTCAAATACGACAATTACTAAACTTTTTTTTATACAAAGTATGTTAGTAACACATTCAGAGTATGTGACGAACAATCTGGTGTCCAAGATATTCTACAGTCTTTTTATATCTCCAATTCATCAATTAAAAATAAGAATGTCAATAAACACTTCGTCACTTGATATCCTATTTCCTAAAGGAAATGATGGATCAATACAAAGGTCCATGTATAACCTACTTAAAAAGAACAATTGGAAAATCTTCATAGTTGGTTTCCAATAACAAAATTCCTATAGGTAAACCTCCAATTTAGAGAAGACAATCTCAGTTGTATATTGTTTAACCGTCTGGAAAGAAATTTCTGTATTAACTACTGAAATTATACTCATATGATTTTAATGTGAAAGATAAGTTACCACAGCTGATCAATATAATGTGTGTATACCAGTCTACCTGTTGTGCATCTCGAATTTGAAAGCACCTAGCAGTATAGCTTAAAGTAAGAACAGCACAAGTTAATTGCATTACTTACTCTGGGGCATGTACTCAATTCGAAATATTTAACCCCTTCGACATCAACTACAAAATTCCAGCGAAGGATCCCCAAGTTCATGTTCAAGCCTACATTACATTACAAAATCTTTAACTACCCTTAATTGAAAACGCGAGTTTTGAAAACAAACAAATTTTTATGTACAGAAGGAACGAATTGAGCGAAGAAATTTTTTTCAATTAGTTTTTCATCATGGCTCTACACTAATATATATGATTTACAATAATGATATAATACTCATTGAGTGGATACGTTACGTAATAACTACATAATGACCTTTAAATTAACATCGAGTAGTTTGGAAGAAAGATGATCATTAATATTCAAAGTAATTATAAAATCAAGGAGTTGCTATGTCGCTTAATATACGAGAAAGAGAAGGAAGAGAATTTGTAATGGATGGTCAATAGAATAGTAGTTACGTAAGAATCAAGAGATGAATGTTGAAAAATTATAAAGTTTAAAAAACAAACTTAAAGTTAAAAAAACCAAATGTGAGAAGTATGGAAAATAATTCTGTTGAAGGGAACGTTATACCGATGGCCAAGGCAGCGAAAGTGGTTGAACAAATTTCTTTTGAATGCAAAGGTCAGGTTTGTGAACATGGATTGCGATGGCTTCCGCAATGTGCAAAAGGCGCACTCGTAAACCATGTGGTAAATTTGATGGGATATGGTAGATAACCTTAAAAGCTTTATTCAATTCAACTTAGTGACCTGTGTCAACCAAATGAGCGAGAATAGAACTTTTAATCACTTTTACTTGTCCTTTTTTAACCATGACGGATGAAGTTCTGTAATACGCTGACGAACTTGCCGAATTGTACGCCCTGTATAACTGGCTCCACAGAAGCAGTTGAACCGATAGATACACACATATTTGGCGAATTCAGGCAGTCTGTCTTTATTGGGGTAGTTGTAGAAGATAGCATTCAGTTTGCCTGCATTAAATGTTTTTTACAGCTCTTTTAAGTTTCTGAGTCACGATCTCTTCAGTAGTATCATTTATGTATTGTAATTTTATGAATAGTATTTTCTTAGGGACCGTGGGTATCTTCGACTTTCATCTCCATCATGTGTTTGTCAATGAATTTCAAAGGGTATCCATTCGCACTAAGTATGTTCCGAATTTTAGCCAATTCTTCAATGGTGTCTTCCGAGCAAATCCTTCTGGCACGATTGGTCATGATCTTTATCAAGTTCCTTTTGTATCTGATTGGAACTGCACTGTAGAAATGGGTGTATTGTCCTGTTGCCGAATTTCTGTGTACCCTCTTTTTAAAGTTCCATCTGCTCGTCTAGTTAGTTGGAGTGATTAAAAGTTATATTCTCGCACATTTGGTTGACACAGGTCACTAAGTTGAATTGAATAAAGCTTTTAAGGTTATCTACCATATCCCATCAAATTTACCACATGGTTTACGAGTGCGCCTTTTGCACATTGCGGAAGCCATCGCAATCCATGTTCACAAACCTGACCTTTGCATTCAAAAGAAATTTGTTCAACCACTTTCGCTGCCTTGGCCATCGGTATAACGTTCCCTTCAACAGAATTATTTTCCATACTTCTCACATTTGGTTTTTTTAACTTTAAGTTTGTTTTTTAAACTTTATAATTTTTCAACATTCATCTCTTGATTCTTACGTAACTACTATTCTATTGACCATCCATTACAAATTCTCTTCCTTCTCTTTCTCGTATATTAAGCGACATAGCAACTCCTTGATTTTATAATTACTTTGAATATTAATGATCATCTTTCTTCCAAACTACTCGATGTTAATTTAAAGGTCATTATGTAGTTATTACGTAACGTATCCACTCAATGAGTATTATATCATTATCGTAAATCATATATATATTCGTTCCTTCTCTATTTATCAAATGTCCAAATGGGAATTTTCATAGTTTTGTTTATTAAATTTGTTTTTTTTCTTTCCTTTAGATTTTCCTTTCTCGAATTTTAAAGAATGACTCCATCTTATTATTAATACAAACGTCGTTACTACTCAGATCTCGTGATTACCGTTCACACTTCATTTCAAATTAACAATGGACAGATATTTTGTTTAACCTATTGATTGTATGTTTCGCATGTTCTGTAAATTCTCCCCTGTTCACTTGATGATCATGTAGACAAATTGCACATCACAACTAACTGAATTTTAGCAGACAAATATATTCATTGGACCGTAATTTATCATATATATATATATATATATATATATATATATATATATATATATATATATATATATATGGTTGTACAGCCTTGAAAATGAACTCGCTGAAAAAATTCTTTCACTAAATACATTTTTTATGACTTATTGTGTAAATTTACATCACAAACAGTGTAGATTCATAAGTATTATTAATGAATAAATATGTCGATAATAAACACCTGTGATATATTATTCTCACTGATGTTATCAACAGCGGAGCGGTCGTCGTCATCAAATAAATCCCTTGACACCATAGTTAGTCTGATATATTTCAACAACCTACTTGTTTACAGTTGATCTGACTATTTATGTCACATTGAAGTTAACCTTAGGAATTCTTGGGTTACATGATGTTATCGGTAATAGATCACGGATCTGCTGGTATTGTTAGCAAACGGTTGAAATCTGCCACTGATAGTCGGGGTTAGGACTTCAATTTTAATACATTTACACATACTGAACATTTGAATCAAGACTTCTTAATTGACTCATCATTATAAGTGATCACCTGGTACTTAATACATCCGAGCATCAAAAAGTGGAAAATATCTTATAATGCTGATCATTCCCATATATATGTTAAACAAACCTAAAAATTTTGAAAGTATAGCTGTTCAAGAATTTACTTTCTTGATGATAATTGGCTTTATTCGAGCTATGTACTCAATCGTCAGACAACATGGAATCGATAATATGCGTTTATTACTTCATAACCACACTACATCTTGCTTTGTTTATGTATGTATTGAGTCAATAAAAGAAAACAATATGTAAACATATTCCGTATTAGGACTAGGATGTGAAGAGTACAGAAGCTCCGTGTGTGTGTGAATAAACATATGTTAAGAAAAGCGCTCAAACAATAGAAAATATGGCAATGAATAGGAAATCGAAACATAAAGCTTAGACACAATCATCCTATCAGTACAAGTATACACAATACAACTTGTTACATAGTTAGTAAGCTTTACTCCGGTTTTTTTCATAAAATATACAATACACAGCTTATATGTACACATCGCATGATACATGGAAGATAGACAAATGGAAAATTAATACCAAATTATCGAGTAAATCTATATCTCTAATAATATAATGAATACATATGTAAAGTCACACATACACATGCAAAACATGAATTATATGACAAGTGCTATTTCATTAAAAGTTCAGTAGAAACGATATCTATTATTTTATTAGCTAGTGCGAATATGTATTCACAATTTTCAAGTCAATGGTAATTAGATATCGAAAAGGTAAAATGCTGTATTTAGAAGAAGAACACTTTGTTTGGACAAAACGGAGAAGCGTAGAAATAAGAGCAGGAAAAATCACCATGATGAGAACAACATAAGGAATGGTCAACACTATTGTAGTGTGAATGAAATCAAGTTCTACCTTTGAACTGACAGTTCATGTAGGATAGGATATATCTAGATTCTTTGATTGAGTACATAGTTGGTTTTTACAGAAAAAAAATGTTACAAGCCAATAAAAACTATCTGTGAAACAATGCAAAAATAACGAGAAAAGCAATGAAATTAAGTGACGAATATTGGAGTTATTATTATATCGCGAAAGACTATGAGAAAATAAGGTCTAATGATGATGGTGTATGTCCTCTTGTGGGTTTTCACATCTGTCTACATGTTTGCTTTGCATTCATCCCATAATGTGAGAAAACAATTTTTAGAGAACAAGGGATTGAGTGGGGGGATATAATTACATATTGTTGGTAAAAAAACAAGAATTTCTAACGATTTTGTGCTCATTGATTACTTTTCAATACAAATAAAATACAATTAATCCATCTCATTATTATCATTTCTTTAGAAAGGAATAGGCATGTGTTAGGTACTATTTCACTATCAATAATCATGGTAAATCATCTGTAATATTCCTCTCATGTGTGAGTGGTGTCTGGTGATTTTGTGAAATCAATGCCTGCTTTATTTCTTCTAAACAGGCTGGTGGACTACAAATTCCATATTTTCGTCTAGCTAAAACACGATGTTGCGGTCTGTCACCAACAGTAACATTACCAGTACCACCACTGACAATTCTTATTTCATCCTCTACAGGCAAACAAGACTGAAGCTGTAAAAATACAAAATGAATAAAAGTATGATATCATCTGATTTAAACAATTAGAAATTGGATTAATACGTGGCACATATTAAACGAATTCAATTACATGTATTTCAGGAGACTTATGAAAGTCGAGATTAAGTGGATGATCATGTTTTGAACCGATGAAGTTATTTAAAATATGCTATTTAGAAGTATATGCAATACTTATACCTTAATAATGAGGAAATTTACGTCTAATGAAATATAAACAGTTGTCTTTTGTAATTAATTGGAAGACAGCCTAATGTGATCTATCCAATGGAAAGTAAAAGTGAAGAAAAATTTATTATGTGTACACTAGAAATCTGTTGTTATCACTGATCAACTTTCATTAAATGTGGATTTGTCTATGATATAATAGGCTAAAAAGACATTATTTAGATCAATAATTTCTTTATCAATACATTATGAACTTCGATCTGGGTGACAGGTGTAAACTTTTGTCCAATGTGACAATTGTATTCCCTACATTAATTCACGTGAACTATTGTCGATGTGTGTTTTTACAATAACTACGTATTTGCCTCTGTGATTGTACTGTAGTCTAATGAGGATGTGATTTCAGGATTTTTTTAAAGACGTGTTTTTGGAGGGCTACTAAGTTCTTATTTCACCAGTTTTTCATGTTCTTACTTGCGTCCTATTTCCAAGTATAAGCAGTAAGTCTACGGACCCAACAGAGCTGAGTGATGACACACCCAGATATAACATTGGCGACCAATCTCTAGACATAACAAATTATTATCGCCGTTATGACTTCCCCTATCCAATAACTTCGTATAATTTTACTGACCCTGATGATTGCTTAGTTTCTAAAAGAACACTATTCAAGCAGTATAGAGATTCAAATGAAATTGCATAAAGTAGAAATTATCATCCGACTAGTTCAATTGCCTTTCGTCTTTGATAACTTAAATCAATCCAATAGAATTAACGTGAGGCAGTTGGCAGAGATTAACATGCAGTACAGGCCGACCTTTTATGAAAAACTTAAATGATACATAGTATTATTCCATTGGCATCTTTTAATATATAACTTCTTTCTTCACCACTCATGAATTATATTATTCATATGTTTACAAAACTATTTAACGGCTGTTTTAATTTCCTTTTATCTACTTTAAACACTGAAACACAAGACAAACATGCATGGACATTAAACGTCAACTGAACTATTTCTTAATGCAGAGGTTCGGCAACGCGCGTTTGAGTACAGCGACGATAATCCAGTTGGTGTGAACATCTTGAAATACTGACTTCGGTGGCTTAGACAGTTACTAGGAATGTCGTCACAACGAATTTCACTTTGTGCATCATATGCCAACACTGGTTGGGGTCCTAGAAATGGTGCAACACAGTGGCTTGAGAAGCTATCAACGATAGTTCAGAACAGAAGTCGGTGGAGGTCCTGCTGTGACATTCTTTTACTTCTTTCATGAAAGTGAAATGATCCTTTTTGGTTGTATTTTTCTTAACTGAACTGCTTCCCATATTGTTATTATTTTTTTCAGTTTTATCCACTAATTCTGATTCATATTTGTTCTATTTTTATGCTCACCTTCCTTTATCTATCTCTTAACAACCACATCTTTATTGTGTGGCGCATGTATATTTTGGTGCTCCCCTTTACCAATGTTTATGCTTTCAAATAAATTTATGAACTGTTAACTCCTCATTTGAATTTTTGATTTTCCATTCCATATTCATTACACTCATGTTTTATTTTACATAACATTTTATCAGATGATTTGTGTTATCGACAAGAATTTATCGAATACCATTAGTTTTCAAGTTGGCATTTTATCAATAACTATATGTCATCATAACAGACTATAATTGTTCATCGTGTTGAATAGATATTAGAATACTAATGTAGCTGCTATAGAACATACATCGCTTTGTTAATTTTGTATTCAAGTGAGATGATAAAATATTGTCATTTTCAATAGGAAAAAAAACAAAGTACAACACTAGCTAATAATTAATGAAGAATGCGTTGTCAAGACTTACTATAACACGATCTGAAGCAGAGTTATTAACATATGTGGACTGTAAAGCAACACCATATGCTGAATCAACAGTTAAATTATCACTTTCTTTTTTATCGATTATTTGGGAATCACTGTCCTTATGATCACTATTATCGATTGAGGCATCGGCAAAGTAGTTGAGATTATTTGTAGATTCATCTAATCGTTCCATAGATGAAGAGCAACTAGATAAAGGAAGGTCCATATTCATTGAATTTATGGAGGACAGTGGGAAAACTGGAGGTATACTTGTAGGTAAAGCTGAATAGTTTGGTTGTGGTACGGAAATCGACGATGATAATGGTTGGGGTGATGGAATAGAATTCGGAATCATAACAGAATCAGGACTGGTATTGAAACTTTTATGCTCAGGAGCCATAATTGAATAACATGATGTTGTTGGATGGTCACAATTAGGTATAATTATTCCAGAATCTGTAATAGGTGTGGTCGATGAATCAATGTTCAGATTATGCAAACGTAATTTCTCGCCCAATAAGAGGTAAGTAGCTGTCAGATGATCGTAAGCACAACGTAGAAGTGACTGTAAAACACAAGAATAAATATAAGCAATGGAAAAGAAAGAAATTAACAGAAGGTATGCTTTAATGAGTCCTTTAGTTGCTCTGTTTAATTATGAAACGTAAATTGATAACATAATCCTAACAAATAGAGCTTTCCGAAGTCATACGATGAATAAGTTGGTATGGAGAGTCAATGCATTACCAAATTTTTTGGTGTTTTTGATAAAATATGACATGCAAAAAAGTGCACTAAAGGTAGTGGGGGATCTTAAAGTGAAGAAGTAAAAGAAAGAAAATTCATATCGGTAATGGATAAGAATAGTAGTCACTAATAGTTATAATTCAATTAAGATTTTCATTTAAAACAATTAGTTCATTTGCCAAATTCGGATACTGCAATAGGAATACGAAAATCACCAGAACTATGTAATAAATGATGAAATCAAATTACTCAACAGAAGTAGATGATAAACATTAATTATCCCCTGTTGCTAAACGCATAGTTGAAACAGGTCAACAGTGATCTTAACTCGGCTCTTGTGGTTTTGTACAAATGTTCAGGGACACATACTAAGGTTTATTGAAGCCTTGGTCAGACGAAAATTGAAATCCTTTTTGTTTTCAAAGACAGTATGCTCCTACCTTAGTAATATTGGTTCATTATCCAGTGTGGTGAGTTTCACATTGCTTTTAACATAATTTTTTTTATTATTTTTGTTTCCTCTAACCTCAAATTTGTTCAGTTGACCGTTTAATTTTTCATACATAAATGTTCCTAACAAGTATATAAGGGATTAGATTATTCGGAATTTCATTCATTCAATGAAGATTCATCTAACTGATAAAATTTTGTCGGACGTCGAGAATATTTTGAACAGTGATTATCAAGCACAATCAGTCAGTCAGTAACAACGTGGAACTTCGTACGTATGTACATCAGTTCGAGTTGCCATACCACATTAGCACAGAGATTCAGTTATCGATTCAAATCCCGTAGTGGTGGATGTAGTGAAAGTATGAGTATTAATCGGGAACATTAGGGTTTGATGATGTTATTAAAGGAGTATAGTCCAGTGGAATAAATTGGGAAAAAAAATAAAGGACATGAAGAATTCAGAAGATTAGAGTTTGAGAGAACACAAAGAGTGGATGCACCTGCGCCATTGCAAACGATTTTGAGCCATGTCATTCAAGGTCTCTAATCATCGGTTGCTATCATCTCGCGGTTCCCAACCAGGTAGTCTACACCTATCAACATGACTCAGTCCACTTGTCAGTGACTTCATGGATTTGTGCCATGTTTTGGTCTGGCCGCCCGTAGCTTTCTTCCAACCTACTCCTACACCATAAAACATCGCACGTCAGGGCAGTCGGTGGTCGGGCATGCGCAACACATGTCCCAGCCATCTCAACTGATTAAGTTTCACTACTTCCTCAATTGATTTGCCATCCTTACCTAGCACCCGTTTCATAACAACTGCAACTAATTCACTTGGACTAGTCCGTTTAGGATAAAGAGTTTGTTGATTACCATAAGTTATAATCAAAACCTAGATAGGATTTTTAAAAGGACCAACAGTTATGAACACACTACGCTACTGGTAGCTGAATACAGTACAAACAATATGAATTCCAGACAGAGGACACCAGTTAACGCATGAGCTGAAAGTTAATGCTAACAAAAATGAAATAAAAATTCACTGAGTTAACGGTTAAACGTGAAGATCGAGTTAATTGCTTTAGGCAAATAAAATGAAAAAGTTTAGATATTAGGGACTTACAATTACATTTTTAGACAAGATTTACGTTTATATACTTAATAAAAGAAACACAGTGCTTTCCACTTAGGGTTTCAAGCTTATTGACTAAACAGAATAGGTAGATAATATTACCAGTTACATAACTTACGCCTGTTACTGCTCGTGAAGGAGCATAGGCCGCTCACCAGCATTCTCCATCCAACCCTGTCCTGGGCAATCCTTTCAAGCTCTTTCCAGTTCTTATTCATCTTTTTCATATCTGCTTCTATTTCCCGACGTAATGTGTTCTTTGGCCTTCCTCTTTTCCGCTTCCCTTCAGGATTCCAAGTTAGCGCTTGTCTCGTAATGCAGTTTGATTATTTCCTCAATGTATGTCCTATCCATTTCCATCGTCTTTTCCTAATTTCCTCTTCCGCTGGAAGTTGGTTGGTTCTCTCCCACAAAAGGCTGTTGCTGATGGTATACGGCTAATGGATGTTGAGTATCATGCGTAGACAGCTATTAATAAATACCTGTACCTTCGTGATGGTGGTTGTTGTAGTTCTCCAAGTTTCAGCTCCGTACAGTAGAACTGCCTTGACGTTCGTATTGAAGATTCTGACTTTGATATTGGTTGAAAGTTGTTTTGAGTTCCATATGTTCTTCAGTTGAAGGAATGCCGCTCTAGCTTTGCCAATCCTCGCCTTGACGTCTGCATCTGAACCTCCTTGTTTATCGACGATGCTTCCCAGGTATGTGAAGGATTCCACGTCTTCCAGAGTTTCGCCATCAAGAGTGATTGGATTGCTGTTCTCCGTGTTGTGTTTGAGGACCTTGGTTTTCCCTTTGTGTATGTTGAGGCCTACTGATGCAGAGACTGCTGCTATGCTGGCTGTCTTTGTCTGCATTTGTTCGTGTGTATTGGATAGGAGGGCTAGGTCATCTGCGAAGTCCAAGTCGTCTAATTGGTTCTGAGCTGTCCATCGTATGCCGTAGTTTCCCTCAGATGTCGAGGTCTTCATAATCCAGTCGACCACCAGAAGAAACAGGAAGGGAGAGAGTAGACAGCCTTGTCTTACTCCGGTCCTTACTTGGAATGCGTCAGTCAGCTGTCCTCCATGAACTACTTTGCACTGTAGTCCGTCGTATAAGTTTCGGATAATATTGACAATCTTCTCAGGAACTCCATAGTGTCGAAGAAGTTTCCATAATGTTCTCCTATCTACACTGTCAAATGCCTTTTCATAATCAATGAAGTTGATGTAGAGTGACGAGTTCCACTCAATTGATTGTTCGACGATGATCCGTAGTGTCGCAATCTGGTCTGTGCACGACCAGTCCTTACGGAATCCAGCTTGTTGATCTCGAAGTTGAGCGTCAACTGCGTCTTTCATCCTGTTCAGTAACACTCTGTTGAAGACTTTACCCGGTATTGACAGTAGTGTAATGCCTCTGTAGTTTTTACACTTGCTCAGATCTCCTTTCTTTGGAATCTTGATGAGGTGTCCTTCTTTCCAATCCATCGGCACTTGTTCCGCCTCCCAAATCTTCTTGAATAGAAGATGAAGCATGCTTGTAGTTACTTCGATGTCTGACTTCAACGCTTCAGCTGGTATATTGTCAGGCCCTGCTGCTTTCCCGCTCTTGATTTGTCTGATGGCCATTCTGATTTCTTCCGTCGTTGGTGGATTGACATCTATAGGAAGAACCAGTTACATAAAATATACCAAAATATAGTAAACAGACGATGTTTTAAGATTATACTCGTCCGTGTTTCCGATAATGTTTAATACTACAATCTTGAAATACATCGCTGAAAATCGCTTGTGAAAGAAATATAAGTTATTTAATAGCTTAAAATTAGGTCCTACATATATTATCTTAGAATCAGTTACCTAAATGATAGATAAACATGAATATACTTTTTTTCAAAAAAAATCACCCGGATAATAACTTACTTTGAGAATTTGAGTGCGACACATTCCATAAGACTCCATAATCATAATAACTAATTCATTTAGTTTACCAACCTTTAAAAAATAGCAACAGAATGAAGAAGTCACGAATCGTAAAAGCATGATTCAAAAGCATTACTCACTGAGAAACAACAAAATACAGTGATCTTGAGAATACTTAAACTTATTTACTTCATTAAATCACGATGCAATACAATGTGGACGGAATTATGTAAAAATAGTAGAGAAAAAAATAACAGAGCCTATTTAAATTAGCTTAAGTGTTAACTTGGAAAAAATGACTTACTTTCATTTCAGCCGCTAAATTAGGCCCAGGACTTTGTAGATCGTCTTTACTCCATGAGAATTTCGAAGAGCAATCACAAGAACAATGTTTCAAAATAAACGTGGGTTGAACTAAATCACAGTCCGTGGATTTATTTAAAATATTTGTATTAGCACCACAGGGTGACAATGTTTGTCGTAACGTTGTCTGTGTAGGGACAGGTTGATTAGTTAAATGCATTGTGGCCAATGAATTAGACATAACATTTGCAATTAGTTTATCGTGATAATGATTATGTGGAATTGTTGATGACGTGAACCATGGAAATTGACTGATACGTTTTGTTGTCGGACGATCGCTCGGTTCTTTCGACAACATACTACGTATTACTTGTTCACATGCTGTAAAGCAGAAAACGAGATGAAAGCCTATAGATCTACAGTGCAAAGCAGTGTATTCGAAGTTGCAGTCAAAATTTATCTTTTTATGAATGAAGGATAGGAAATGATTCAGTTCGGATCAATGAATACATATCGTCTACACGAGCGGACAATCGAAATCCTAGTTAAAAAGATAACTATTAAACATTTTCAGCACATATGGATATCCGAAAAATATAATGTACGTCCATGCCAAATCGCTAGTGCTAGTATAGAGGAAACTGTTGGGAGAAATTTTACACTGTCTGCTGATCAATGTGTATTTATTACTACTCTCAAATATATTATGAACATAGATCAATGAGGATGAGGTATAAACAAGATAAATAAATAAACCGCTTTCTGTGACTCAGAATAACCAAATTTAACATGATAGATTGAACAGTAATTATATAAGGTGGTGTACGTAGAACAATGTGAGTGGATATTACGCTTAAACAGTCAGGAACGAAAGTTCGTGTGAAATAATTTTACCATGAGAACAAACTTAAATATCAAAAACGTACTCAGTACCTATAAAGAGATTCAAAAATATAAGTACGAAAAGATCCAAAAGTTTCCGTTACTGATTGGGTTTAAAAGAGGTAATACAGATGGTTGAATTTCATTGGAATCATAAACCAATTTAGGCTAGACAATCATTTAAAATCTGGAAGCACAGGACGACCGTTTCGTCCTAGTATTGAACTCCATAGCAATATTGATTTTAATGAAACTCAACAATCTCCACAAACCCAAATTGAGAATCACCATATGCTCAGTAGCGACTCGCTTCGAGAGAAAATCTTCAGAATTGTGGCAAGGAGCCGCAACCATTGTAGTTAATCCGTGGACGGTGTGAGACAATTACACACCGAAAACAATGGAAGGTGGTTGCGCAATTTTGTGGATTGATCGAGGTTAGATATGAACACCGTTGGATGTTTGTTCAGCAGTTTAGGGGTGATATGTTCGTGCACGAGACTGAACGTCCAGGGTCCGATTCTGACTGACTGACTGACGATTCCATTTGGTGCGGGGCTGTGGATGCGCACTTCTAAGGAGTCCCATACTAGTGTGAAACAGTCGTTCAGTGCTTCTAACTTTTTAATGGCTATCTAATTTAGATCAGTTTATGATTTCAACGAAATATTAACATATTGCTAAATTTGAAAAACCAACTGTCAATAACGAGTAGGTTGATTGGAATTTAGAAAAAGGAATGTGAATACAATCAAGTGGGTTAAACTCACACGCCCTTCTTTTCATTCATAAACTCCACAAAACAAATTTCGTGGTATTATTATCTTGAATATTTTCTAGAACTATCATCTAGACCAATTATAAAAAACCCGTTTAAAAAACACTAACTCTTTTTCACATTCCAGACGATCCACTGGTTATTTACAATCTTTTTTGAATTAAAGATTATGTTAATGAATGGAAATATGTAAATATTACTAGTTGGTATTTTAGCTGAAGAAAAGAAAGCAATGAAATACAATGAACTCGATGTGTTCTGTAAATATTACCGTCCTTACTTTGTTCAAATTTGTGACGGAAATAAATTGTAAAAGCATCTTGTACACAGACCAGATTAGCCTATATGAAGGATTTATTTAAGGGGTAAATGGAAAACCCTCATTCTAAACCAATAGTGTATGTGGGCATCAGAATCTCGGAGGAATAAAAACAGCGTATGAATCTGTTTCTGATTACGACGATACTCCACTACCTCATTAACTAAGCCTTTAGGTTAAAGATTCGGGGAGTTACCTACTAACTCAACCACCTTTTATTTCAGAAACTCGAGTAGTACCCTAGTCCCCCCCACACACAAAGTTCGTGTGGCGTATACTACTTTTGTTGCCCAACTCTGTACCAGATTATATGTGAATTAAATAAATAAATAAAATAATCATTAACAACTTATGACTAGGTAAACCAAAATAACTATATGATTTTAATAAAAGATGAGGGAACTTTTTGTGCTTTATAACCAAGAAAACAGTGAACTTAACCAAATTAGAATTTAGTCCGCTACAGTGGTTGAACGCATCCACGGTTCGGACATGAGAAACATAGTCGAAAATGCTTTCTAGTTAATAATGGCATTAAGTTCTTTAAAAACAATCTTCAATACCTTGAAAGGTTAATATGTTAACACCATTTATACATGGTGCTAAACTAAATTTTTAACTGTTTGAGACAGACATCTCGAGAAAGTATTGACCATTGGTGACGTTTTTTCTGTTATATGGAACATTTGATACATCATCAGCTGATAACCGTGTATAAACTATAGAAAAAATTAGCGTAGACTTGAACAAAGAAATCAGAATACATATGGCTTACAAACATACACACGTACAACGAATACAATATATAAACAAACGAAGCAGACATTTGCATCATAAATACGTAATCACAACACATGTGATTTCATGCGTGAGCTTAGCGTGATATAATCGATAGTTGAAGTCTGAAATTAGACGACTGATACACGGGAGAGAAATACAACAGAGGGGAGAGAAAAATATGTTAATGATAATGTATTATTGCGTCATATAATTGCTTATTAGAAAACATTTTTAAACAATACACTGTTGTTCGAATATCATATACATGTGTGACGTAGGCTTGGAATAAAAAAGTACATATGAATGTAATAACGATAGTCCATACCAAAATCATTTACAGAACAAAGAGAGCAACTCAATTGATTGATCACTGGGTGGTGATCAATGTCATGTATGTCAGGTCATTTTTAGCTCAGATCGAATCCGTCAGGAAGCATCAGTTCTCTCAAGATTACAGGTACACCTTGCTGACGAGTGCCAAGAAGCACGAAACGTAGGTTCATGGTTTCCTGTTGACTACCTCCAACTACCATCTTAAACCAACTTAAATAAAGTAATTAAAAATCATTAAATGAATACTGAGGAACAGATGCGTATATCTATATTTATGCTTATTTGACGTCACTGTGTGGTGTCCATAAACGATAGGCCTAAAATAATAATCCCAGCTCTAAAAGCATTATGTGGAAAAAACTTGGACTTTTCCACGCATTCATAATAATAAGTTAAATAAAAAAACCGAATGTTTATACGAATATTCGTCAAGATTAGAACGAATAGTTTGACAGAAATTGGGTGCCGAGAATGGAGAAGACATTATATGTGAAAATGAGAATGAAACTGAATGTTACCACTTAGAAACACATGACTTCGAATATTTTACGTATGTGAGTCGATTTAAGTTATATCCTTCGTGTGAATGGACAGTTAGAGAAGAAATGAACGAAGAGAACAACAACGGAGAGAAAAGGAATGGTAAGATCAATTGTAATGCAAAATTAACACGATCAGGGATTGAAAAGTATGAAGTTGTAATATGCTTATGATTTAGAAGATAGACATTGGCGAAACTATATCAACACAACTGATTTTAAACAGTGTCATTCAACAGGTTCGATCATAGTTTACGCCTACTGTATCGGTACAAACAAAGAGTTTACACAGCTCATTTCAACAGTCAATTACTTCACGGACTGACTGTACGAAATACTGGCATTGTCACAGGATTCTTTTTTCTTAAAAGGTGAAAGGAGTACAGTTGTTGTAGCTTTCATAAAACATGTGTTTCTCGACTAAAACATGTACACTTTCTTAATAGAAATCAGTGATAAGGGAAAAACTAATCGAAACCAAGAGACTACTGATCAATTATTTGAGCATATATTTATACTCTTTTATAAGAAAACTAGAGCTGTTATATATATAAGAAAATTAAATCCATGTTTGTTTAACAATAACGATAACCTACCATACAAATATTTAGGTTTAACACTAACTTCATTTTCATTATTAAATAATCGCATAACTGTTTATTGAATTTAGGATGAACCACAGATAATAAAGTGAATTTTCTAGCAAATATAGACGAAAAATTTCATATTTACGTCGATTTCTACAAAGAAGACTGTAATAGATAAGGATCTGTGTACGTAAACATAATTTACCCTACTGTTTATTCAGTGCCGTGAAATATTCAGTATTATAGTGATGACTAGTTATTCAATTTCAAAAAGATATTGTTGATAAAACTGTTATCGTCTCTCAGGTATATTACGACATGTTAATACGACAATCACACTAGCTATGTTATATCAGAATAACGACCTAGAAAAAATCCAGATTAAAACTAGATAATACTTTATTCAACACAGAAGAGACACCAAGTGCGTCCGGAAAAATCAATGGGATGAAAGAAAATCGAATATTTGATAATCAAAATGCTAAGTGCTCATTTTTTCCAATAATCACAGTTTACTCTCAGTAACACACAATGTTTCTAAAAAATATTTTCTGCTGCCTTCATATGGTAGAATATATATATAAGAAGGATTGCATATCAGGAGATAGTACAGGAAGAAAGAATTAGTTCGTAGAAAGAAAGATACAAAGCGATTCTAATCTCATAGTTTAAAGGAAGACAAAGAGTGTATACACCGACGCCATTGTGATCGATTCTGAGCCATGTTACCATGAGTCTCCAACCATTGGTTACGATAGTCACGCGGACCCCAACCAGGTAGTCTGCATCTACAAACATGGCTCAGACCAGAAGTTAGTGACTTCAAGCACTGATGCCACGTTTTGGTTTGGCCGCCATTAAATCTCTTCCAAAAAACGACTCCAATAATGCTCACTAACCCAGTGATCCCAGCAGATGTGAGTGAATTACTAGCTTATGAGTATCTTCTACTGTTAATGGCCACGTTGTGCAGCCATAAATTAAAACACAACGAATTTCCGCACAGTATACTCGTCCCTTAAATAATGGACGGATATCTCGCCTTAGCCGTAGGTGACGTAAGTTAGCTTAATACAGACATCCTTCCACATACTGAAAAACTCAACCAATTATACAAAGCTCTCAACAATAGGTCCCAACTCTTATAAGATCTACTCAAAGAA